TTCCGTTGCATGTGCGATCGACATTTGCTGAGATGTCCAAAAAAAAACCGCATGGACAACCCATGCATTCCGATTTGTGATTTAGACGTACATATTTTAACTCAATCGGAATTGTGATCCATTTTGTCCAACAAGACGATACATCAGAATGCTGCGTTGAATCAACGTGCCGCATCCAATTGCAGATTTTTCAATTTTTGTCATTTCAGTTATAGCTGCAGTTTTGGGTTCTTAGGCTTCCTGTTGACGTGTTAACTTCTCCGTTGTCAGCCATGTCGTATTGGAACAGGTCCCAATGGAACTCTTGGGACAATCAATGGCAGCAGCAGCAGTCTCCTCCACCTCCGCCTCCGTCTTCGAGTCCGCCCGTGAGTTTACCATCAAATTGGCGCAGCACGAGTCAATGTTGGGATGATCAAGTTCAATATGGTTACCGTTTGTACAGATCAATTCAACCGACTGCATGGAGCCGCAAGAGGAATCTTGCTGGCCAAGATCCACTTTCCGTCCCGCTCAGTCATCTTACTCGACATGGACATGATGAAGCAGCGCTGCGAGCGCTCAGTGAGGGTAGATTTGTTGGAATTATTTGTGCGAAATCTGTTGCTGAATCTGTGTTTGGTTCCCAAATTTTGAAGACATTCCGTGATCAAGGAATTGATATCGATGCTACGGCTGAAAGCCTCCATCGCCAGTTGGCCCCCCAGCAGGGCATTCCCAATCGCACGGACAAACCGATTGAGTTTATGGCACCTTTAGTTCAGTTCATAGCCGATAAACTCAAGGCTCAGTGTCCTGTAAAACAGGATACCGAAGCCATGCGAAGGCTCCAGGAGACCGAAGCGAAGCTTCAAGCTGCCAAGTCCAAGCTTGCACAAGCAGGCATTCCGGATACACCCCAGAGATCACGGCGTACCACCGGCACTTTTGCCCCTGATCCCAAATTGCCAACTGATGATCTTGATGGTCCTGGTTCTGCTGGTTCTGTTGTTCCTGTTTCTCCTGCTGTTGTTTCTACTTCTCACAGGAAGAGACCTAGCGAGGCATTAGGGGCTTCTCCGAAATCGCTGCCAAAGCAAAGAAAGCTGGCACCTATGTTCCGCAAGGCAGCTGCGTCACCAAAAGATGAGACCTCTGCCACGCACTCTCCGACAGAAATCACAATTCAGGAGATTTTGGAGCCAAAGGCCCCAAATCTCAGAGAGAATCAGCTTTCCGGAACCACTGCAGCCAATGTAAAGAAGTGGACCCAGAATTTCAACCTGGAAACCCAGCAGATGTCCAAGAAAATCATGGATATCATAAAGGCTGCTAAATGCACCAAGGAACAGTTGCAACAGGCCAGCACTCAATATGGCCTTAATTTAAGTGCTGTCCTCAAGCTCAGCATCACAAGTCTCCAACAGGCAGTTGCTGTTGGAGCAGCTCTTACAGCTTGACTAGCTATGGATGTTTCCAAACATCGGCCGAAAGCCGTTCTGGATTACATCGCAGTTTTGAGATCCGCATTTATTGAGATCGTGCACTCTGTCCCTGCTGTCAACAAGTCTTGTGCAATTTGGGCCCTTGGTTTGCTTCATCTCATTTGTCTTTTCCATTTTGGATCACGCACGTATCATACCGCGGTTTGGCAGCGAAGACTGCAGAACCTTGGTATTAATCCAGAGAGTTATACTTTTGTATTCTTTCAATGTGCAGCTGTCACCTATCTTAAAATGCAGTTTAACCTTCCCAACTCCACTTCACTTTCGTACAAACAAGCTGGCAGATTTTATATCGGCTCCACATCCATTGGAATGGCCAAGCGGGAATTCAATAGAATGGCCAAGTACAGACTGGCCAAAGATGGTACTCCTGTTCATGTTGAACTTGCTGTTAAGTACTGGTCTCGACGTTCGGATTTTTCCAATTTTACTGCAATTCCAATTGCCTCTTTTTCTACATATCAAGAAGCCTGGATTTTTGAACATTTACTGATTTCAAGATGGCAACCACCGTTGAACCATCCATTTATCACCAAAATCTTGACGCTGAAAGCATCAGGATGGTTGGTTCAGTACAAGAAACATTCTCAGACTTTTCCATCTATTCCACAGGGAAACAGATTGTTTCAAAGACTACGCAGAAGACTCATCACCAAAGGTGTTCCTCCCTCCATTCACTGCAAACAAGCTCAAGCTTGGAACATTCTTTTTGAGCTCACAAGTCCTGGCCGCCTCTCCTTTGACACAGCGACAACCCTCAGGTCTGGGAAATTTGATGATTGGGAAATATATGTGTTGTACCGACTTTGCAATCATTTAGAACAGCCAGCGCGCGGTCGAGCCAGGAAACTTCTTGCATCAGCCATGAAGTTCAGAAATATGACGATACCAAAACTGAATCGTCCAGCGACTATGCCATTTTTGGCACACTCTGATTTTTCAGCACAAGTTTCAAGATTTTTACGTAATCATGTCCTACAGTACAAGGAAATTGCAATTCCGTTGCATCTTCCAACCTCAAAACTGAGGGAAGCTGCAGCACAGACACTTTCAGGTTTTCTACACAATTACAAGCACTATGAGCACAAGCACCCTGTACAGGATCCGACCCAGTTGACATGTTCGTGCTCTCAATTGATTGCCAAAATCAAACATTTTGATCCTTCAATTCATTGGTTTTGGTGTCCATCAACATGTTGCAGTTGGTATCCATGAGTTGAACTTGCCCTCCAAGTTGCGCATCTTTGAGACTGCCAACGCCTCCTCTACGTTTTTTCCCAGCTTCGCACAATTTCAGAACATTTGGCATGAACAATTGCAGTACTGGACTAAATATCATGGTTGCCCTCCGTTTTCTCATCGTGATCTTCAAGCCGAACTTCTTCGACAATGGACCGCTCACACCAAGGAGTTGCAGACTAATCCCAGATTTTCCTTCCACAACATCAAGCACCTCCTTCAATGGTTACCACCCAATGTGGTGATTCATCATGCTGATCATGAAATTCATCGCATCACCCTGTTTTGTCCTTCCTTCTACTTTGAGTCTGCTTGCAGAACATGGGATGATCCTGAATTGTTTTCCCGTTTTCCTGGAAATGAAGAAGATGCTCAAAAGCTCATTGCTACTGCTTTGACACCGTCCTTGCAGAACCGATACAGATGGGGGATTAACACATCCTCGACACTGCCTCACGGCTTTGTACATCTGAAACGAAAGAAGATGTTCAACAAAGGACGTACATTGATTTCGTATTTTGGTTCACGCTATGGTAAACTCATGCAGGCCACCGCCAGAACTCTTGATACGATGTGTGTGATGCTTTGGCCGCAAGAAGCCGGTCAACTTTCAGTTCCTGAAATTTGGAAACATATCCATCAACGGTTTTTTCGTACAGATGACGATATTCAATTTGCTGCCATCAACGATGATCTTGTTGGATTTTTCAACAGCGTCCCTCAATCACGTTTACTTGATGCGATTCAACAATTGACCACGGAATGGGTCAATCAACATGGTGAAACACAAGTTTCGGTCAACATGGCTCTGAAAGGGCCAGTTGTCCACACTTCATTTGTGGGACAGTGCAAGAAGACATCATCGAATATCAAGACCGTTCGAGTTCAAGATATTTTGACAATTGTCCAGGCTTCTTTAAGTACCCACGTGTTTAAAGCTGTCAACCAAATTTGGGTACAGCATCGTGGAGCAGGGATTGGATCACACATCTCTCCCTCTCTCAGTAATTTGGCTGTGACGCTCATAGAGCGCAGCTGGAGAAATGCGTATTTAACTTTTGTTCAATCCAGCCAACTCCAGCTTCTGTTCACACGATATGTGGACAACAGATTCATTTTGTTTGACCATCGATTTCGCTCCGCATTGCCCATGCGAGTGCTTTCCGATTGTTTCTTTTATCAAGCGCCGGTGGAGTTGGAAACCGTCGAAGATGGTACACTCCTTGGGTTCACCATCGATGTCGTGCAACGAACCGTAAGGTACCAAGTACC